TTTTTTTTTTTTTTTACCTGCCCCGCTTTTGGATTAGATCATCCGGGAGCAAAGCAGGGCACGTCTGGGCCCCTGAAGGATCAACAGCTTTCAAGTGTCTGATCTCGGCCAGGTTCTGTGCAGCTCTGCTGAGCAACATCTCGGATTGTGATGAGACCTTTAACTACTGGGAGCCGGTGAGTCCCTTCCTGCCCTTGGGATTGGCAATTTGCAAATACCCCTTCATTTAGGACCTTGCGCTCTCTGTTTCAGTTTCCAGTTAGCTTGTGCAAATGCAGATTTATTTATATAACCTTGTGCTGAGCCCTCTGTTTCAATGAGAAATATTTTGCTCTGGAAACTCTGCTTTGTGGAAAACTCTCTGCTTTGTGTGCTGCAAGTTAATTTATTTATTTGATCTCTGTTGCAGACACACTACCTCATTTATGGGAAGGGGTTTCAGACCTGGGAGTACTCTCCTGCCTACGCCATCCGCTCCTATGCTTACCTGTGGCTCCACGCCTTGCCAGCCTGGTTCCACGCCAGGGTCCTGCAAACCAACAAGGTAAATTTGGTGTGTGGAAGCTGCTTTTGAGAGGAAGAAATGTACATTTAGTGTGGGAAACAGCCGGCCTGTTTGGTGTTGAAATTGACTTCATTGTTAAAAACCATGGTTGAAATTGACTTCATTTTTATAAAACATGGTTGAAATTCACTTCATTTTTATAAACATGGTTGAAATTCACTTCATTTTTATAAAACATGGTTGAAATTCACTTCATGTTTGTAAAACTGGTTTGTTGACAAACATTGGCCTCCCTGGAAGGATTTCCAAGGGTTTGTGGGTTTCCCCTGATGTTTTACAAGCCCATTTTCTGTCCTGTGCCTCATTCAGACTCTGTCTGTGTCTGCCAGGTTCTCATCTTCTATTTCCTGCGATGCTTCCTGGCCCTCCTGAGCTGTGTTTGTGAACTCTACTTCTACAAGTGAGTGTCAGAGTGTCTGCAGGGCGTGTGTGGGAGCAGTGTGAGTGCCAGGGACAGCTCCTGCCACAGGAAATAGGCTTTGAGGCTCGTGTGTGGACGAGAAAATACAAGTTTTCATAATAACTCACGGAGATGCTGGTCAGAACGTCACAATTAGGACAAAATTGCACTCCCAGTTCTCCCACCCACACTTCTACTCCAGCATTTTGTTGGCTCTGCTCGTTTCCTCACTGCTGGCAGCAGCAGGGTGGGAGTGTTGCAGACTGAGGAGAGTCTGGGGCTGTGTGTGCTTATCCCAGTGAATTTGACTGGAACACACTGATTGCTGCTGTCTGGAATCTCACTGCCAGTGCTGTTTACAGCCACTAAAATCAGTAGCCCTAACATGCAATTATCTTGTTTAAACTGCATTTTTATTTTTACCGGCTGCCTCTTGATTCCTGATTTTTAATCCACTGCCTTGCATGAGTTTTTTTGTTTGTCAGAAGCCACAGTTCATCTCCTTAAACCAGAGCACTGACACGTATTTTCTCATCCACATTCTGGTTTAAGGAGATGAACTGTGGCTTTTTTTTGCATGGTGGGGTTTTGTGAGGGGTGAGGGGATGGATGGGGGTGTGCAGCAGTGCAGCCACCACTCCTGAGATTTGCACAAGCACAGCTGGGAGAATCCAGGCCCCACCCAGAGTTTTGTACTGGTGAAACTCAGGGTCTGGAATCCCAGGGGAGGCAGCAGCTGAGTGTTGGGAGTGCCCCAGCTCAGAGCTCTCAGGCTGCTCCGTGGGTTGTTTGTGGTTCTGCATGCCTTGGTGCTGCTGATTTGGCCCTGGGGCTGTTTTGTGGTACCTGTTTCTCTGCTGCTTCCCCAGGGCTGTGTGCAAGAAGTTTGGGCTGCACGTGAGCAGGCTGATGTTGGCCTTCCTGGTGCTCAGCACGGGCATGTTCTGTGCTTCTGCAGGTGAGTTGGCTTGGCACTGGCACTGACAAAGGTTCAGAGAGAAGAAAATCACATCTCCGGGTGCTCTTTGTTGTACTCCCATGACAGAAAAAGCGTTGATTCCATTTTTGTTCTCTGTGTTACAATTCCCAGGCCTGTTTCTGTTGCTGCCTCCTGTTTTTCAGTATTGCAGTGCCTTTACACAGGCTCCTGGCCTGCCTGCCCTTGCTCTAAGGAAGGAGCTGGCACTTTGGCACTTTGTGTGCTGTTCCCTCATGTCCGGTTTTCGGCTGTTTGAAGGGCCTGGAAAGGCCCGGAGTGGCCTTGGGGCAGCCCGCGAATCAAAGGACGAGAAGAGGCTTCAGTTCTTCTTTCGGTCTTTATGTTTATTAATTGTTTATCTAAAAGATTTTCTTTCGGCCCAACAGAGATCTGCTCAGCAGCCAGCCATGAGCACACTGTGTCGCCCTCCGGGCAGTCACCTATCTTTATACCCATGGTTACGTGTACAATATTTATCATTTTTCCCCAATCCTTTTTATTTTTATTGTCCGGTGCACTTTCAGTAATGACCAATCCAAAAGTGCCACCATCACCAAAGAAGATGGAGGAGAAGAAGAAGAAGAAGAAGAAGGACAGGACACGCCCCAATTCCTCCATCTTACTTCTCTAAACCCCCCTGTACATAAATCCTAAACCCTGTGTTTCACTCTCTAATTAACCAATCCCTTCACCATTCACCCCGGTGAAACCCTCCTATCCTCATACAGGTGTCGTCTCCTGTGTAGGATCAAAGTCCAGCCACCAGACACTTCTGGAACATTCCAGGACTCCCGAGCCCCCCAAGGGCGGTCTCGGTGACACCTCAGTCCTGAGGTGCTGAGATCCCACACCCTCAGGCTGGCTGTACCTGTTCTCCCAGCCACTGCAAGACTTGCAGCCGTGTTGTGTGAAGTGTGGGGGGCCTGTGCTGACCTTCCACCCCGTTGTGTTGCAGCTTTCCTGCCCAGCAGTTTCTGCATGTACACCACGGTGGTGGCCATGACGGGCTGGTACATGGACAGGACCTCGGTGGCAGTGCTGGGGGTGGCTGCTGGAGCCCTGCTGGGCTGGCCCTTCAGCGCAGCTCTGGGGTAAGGAGCACCTGCTGCCCTTTCTCAGCTGCTCTGCACCTGCCTGGGCAGAGCCAGCAGGCACTGAGCTGCCAGCTTAGCCCTGGATCGTTGCTACAGCCTTCCTGGCTTTTGGACAGCTCAGGTTGGGCAGATTTCCTGGCATTAATTTGGGTGAATCCTGAGGTGGATGATGAATCTGGAGTAAGAGCAGAGTGGTGGTTCTGTCTCTTGCTTTGAAGGGGCAGCAGAAGCTGCAGTGGGGCTCTCAAAGCCCCCAGCTGACAGCTGGTCTCTCTTCCAGGCTTCCTATTGCCTTTGACTTGTTGATCCTGAAGAAGAGGTGGAAAAGTTTCCTGAACTGGTGTGTGGTGTCCTTGATCCTGTTTTTGGTGAGTGCTGCCCCTGTGCCACTGTTCACAAGGGTCTGAGGATGAGGGAAGAGATGAGGATCTGACTCCATGTTTCAGAAGGCTTGATTTATTATTTTATGATATATATTACATTAAAATGATACTAAAAGAATAAAAGAAAGGATTTCATCAGAGGGCTGGCTAAGAATAGAAAAAGAAAGAATGATAACAAAAGCTTGTGACTGACTGAGACTGTGATTGGCCATTAATTAGAAACAACCCCATGAGACCAATCCCAGATGCACGTGTTGCATCCCACAGCAGCAGAGAACCATTGTTTCCATTTTGTTCCTGAGGCTTCTCAGCTTCTCAGGAGAAAAAAATCCTAAGGAAAGGATTTTTCATAAAAGATGTGTGTGACATGCCACAACACAGAGGGAATGGATGGCAACCCAAGGAATGAGTTCCTTTAGGAAAATCTGCTGGAGTTGCTCCACTTTAACCAAAATCTGCTTTTTCCCAGGTGCCCTTGGTGGTGGTGGACAGCTATTACTATGGCAAGCTGGTGGTGGCACCTCTCAACATCGTTTTGTACAATGTCTTCACCCCCCACGGGCCTGATCTCTACGGTGAGTTTGGGATAACGAGCCGGGGAGGCAGCCCGAGCTTTTCTGGCTGCCCTGGCCCTTATCTGCCAGTGCTTTTTGTGCCCTGCAGCCAAAGCAGCTGCCAGCTTCTGTTCCTGCCGGCTCCGAGGGCTGCAGCTGCAGCTTCTGGACACGGGATGTCTCTGTCGAGCTGGCAATGCGCTGCCGGTTCCTCCGGGCTGGGACTTGTGCTGCTTTTGTTCACTTCCCACTCCCGTGGAGCTGCCAGGAGGTGTCTCACTGCCTGGGCACAAGTGGCCCGGGTGTGTTTGGCAGCTTGGATCCGTTCCTGCCTGCTGCTCCTCGCAGTCAGGCTGCAGAACTTGGAGAAAGTGAGGAATGGTGCAGAATCCAGACTTCTTTCTGTCCATATCCTGCACTTCCAGAGCTGGAAATTGAGTTCTAGCAGGACTTCAGGAGGGCTGGTAGAGCCCAGGGGATGCCTGCAGCATCTCTGTGCTCTGTGCAGAATCCATACCCCTTTCTCTCCAGTCTTAAAGCTGGAAATTGATTTCTAGCAGGGCTTCAGGAGGGCTGGCAGAGCCCAGGGGATGCCTGCAGATCTCTGTGCAGAATCCATACTGCTTTCTGTCCAGTCTTAAAGCTGGAAATTGATTTCTAGCAGGGCTTCAGGAGGGCTGGCAGAGCCCAGGGGATGCCTGCAGATCTCTGTGCAGAATCCATACTGCTTTCTGTCCAGTCTTAAAGCTGGAAATTGATTTCTAGCAGGGCTTTAGGAGGGCTGGCAGAGCCCAGGGGATGCCTGCAGATCTCTGTGCTCTGTGTGAGGCCAGAGGAGCTGTTGAGGAGGGCTCAGCCCTGGGAGCAGCAGCATCAGGGCTTTCTCTGGCAGCTGGCACTGCTGGTTGTTCTGAGGGGCTGTTCTGGGTGGTGCTGATTTGTCACTTGTGCCTGGCACAGCAGGGCAGCAGCTGCTCTGCCAGGGCTCTTGGCCTCTGCAGGAAGGCTCTGAAGTGTGGGGCTGGGAGTTTTGTGTAAGTGAGCTCCAGGCTCTGTCTCTGATAGGTTTTGGCAGGGCCTTGTGCCTGACCTTTTCCACACTGGTGCATGAGTTGTTTGCAGAAGCCTCCAGGGACCCATCTGTCCTGAAGAGTTTTATTCACAGTGACATTCACACAACATCCTCGGGCTAGTAAAGGAGCCTGCCTGGAATTGCTCTTTAATGCAGTGTGGCCAGGACAACGCTGTGTGTTTAGAGAGCTTCAAAACACTGGGGAAAAACAACACAGCCAGGGGAGATGAAAGGCTGGCCAATCCCTCTTGGCTCTGCAAGCTGGGATTTCCCAACGTTCACATGATGGGGGCAGAGTCACCAGCCCAGACCATCTCCAGTGTAAGCCCTGCACTGTTTTTGAGACAAGGTTCAATTAATTTTTTTTCCCCCTGTCTTTAGCAATATGCTCCCTCTGTATAAATATTGTCTGTGCAATTAATATTTCCCTGGGGTGATTTGGTTTCTACAGCCAAGGGAAAACAGCTGCCAAGAGTATATCCCTGTTTCTGAGGCTTTGGGGTGTTTTTGTGTACTTAATTTGTGACCAGAGTTTTGTCCCACTTTGGGAGGCTTTATTCAGCTTGGGTGGAAGGTGCTGGAGCTGCTCACGTCCCTCCTTTCTCTGTGGAGCCCTGCTTCTTGAGCAGAGTGAGAATAAATGAATGTATTGCAGGGAGCAGACTGTTCATTGTAGCAGCACTGAATCAGAGCGAGGGCTGTGACTCATGACCGAATTATTGCAGCTTAGTTTCTGCTTGCCAGCTGCAGTTCCTGCACTCAGGCTTCAGCCCAGGGTGGGGCTCCTTGTCCCAAACCTCCTTTACAGCTCCCCTGCTCTGGCCTGAGCTGCCCCCACCATTCCTGTGCTCAGGGTGCAGCGTGGGTAAATTTGATTCACTCCTGAGTTCTGGAGTTGCTCCTGGGGCCGTTCCCAGGCCTCAGAGTTCAAAGCATTTTCTCTCTGGGGTCTGACAGAGCTTCCAGCTGCTTTTCCCCATGGAACACCGTGCCAGGAGCTGCCTGGGTGCTCCTTTCCCACTGCTTTCCCCAGTCTGTGTCCTGGACCCCACAGCTGCCCAGCTCTGGGATGTGCATCCTTGCAGGAAGGTTCTCCAGCTCCTCTCCTGCTCTGCAAGCACATTCCCATTGCTGGAGAGTTCTCAGTGCCCCTCCCTGCTTCAGAGGTGATGTTCTGGGCCAGGACTTCTTGCCTGCAGTGGGGTTGTTCCTTTTTGAGGCCGCAGTTCACCTTGAGCCGTGTGGATAAGAGGAATAAAATCGCTTTTGCCCTGGGAGGCTTTGAGCCTGAGTGCCTCTGAATGGCTGCGTCACCAGTGAGCCAGCCTGGTGCTCTCTGCCTGCTGTGAACTGTTCTCTTCTCTTTTTTCCTCCCTTTTTATTTTTTTTTTAGCCTCTCACAGAGAAGAAAATCCCTCATTGGAGAAGCAGGGGAGGCTCCAGTGCTTGTTTTTTTCTGGGCAATTCAGTCACACTGCAAAAAAATGTGAGCGAGCAGCTATTTTTTGGTGAAAGCTGTGCCTCGGAGCAGCTGCTGTGTTTATTAGCAGCGTTATCTGGGCTGTGTTTGGGCTGGGGAGGAGTTGTGTTTCATGAGGTGTCCTTCACTCCCGACCCCCAAGGCTGCCAAATCTGAAACCAGAGCAGGGAGAGGTGAATTCAGTGTGAATTCCCTTTGCTTCCCATCTCAGCCACAGAGGTGACAGGCTGGTCCCTGGGCTGACCCTTCAAAGATTCAGACCTGATTTCTATAATTGCTGTTGGTAACTCAGGCGTTCCTGTACCAACCCAAGCTGCTTGGCCAGGCAGTGACTCCAGTGCCGTGTTTGTGACACCCCCAGTGCAGCTTCTCCCCTTTTTTGAGCTGCAGGAGCCGCAGAGCCCTCGGGTTTTCCTTGCTGCTGTTGGGTTGTCTGATTAATTTCAACACGGACCCGATGTAAGTGGCTGTGATTGCAGGAAATTGCTGTGGCATGTGACACATGTCACAACAGTGCCGTGATTAAAGCCCCCGCGTGTCATTTACTGGCTGATTGAGCTAATCACACTGAGAGAGTGGGAAATGTGTGGAGAGGAACTGGCATTCCTCATTGTTAAGGGCTTTAAGCATCCTGAATTAAGAGTCTAAATAAATGACAGTTGGACTGGAGTTTCTTTCAGTTTACATCCTGCAGAGCTTGCAGCCAGCTCCCGAGTGTGGAGGCAGAGCTGCCTGGCTCCTCTTGCTGTCAGAACAGGCTGAATTTGGGACATTTAAATAGTGCTGAGTGAAAGGAGGGACCAAAACCAGCCTTTAGTGGCTGAGGTTTTGTTGGGGTGAAGTGAGAATAAAAACTCCTTCCCTTCTTAATCCTTTTTGGTACCTTTCTGTTGCTGCCAACCCAGAATGAGCATCCTCACTCCAGAATGAGATGGCATTGTGTGGTTTTGTGTGACTCCTCTGCAGTTAGAAAGAGAGAATGAATTTGGGGTCAAATTTCCCAATTTTAGAAGTTTCCACTTCTGCTTTCCTGCTGAATGGAGGGGTGAGCTCTGTGTCACAGAGTTCTGCTGGCTCTGGGGTTCATGGGCAGCAGGTGTAATACTGACTATTTTTCACCCTCAGATTAAAGGTAAGGAGAAAAATTAATTTCTGAGCAGGAAGGCAATGAAGTTTCTTGTGCAGGTGTGAGTGTGAGATACTCTGGTGGGCTGTGTCAGGCAGGGAAGGGCCAAACCTGCTGCTCCATCCATTCATACTTGAGTTTCAAACCTCTTTTTTTTCCTTTTTTCTCCCCCTTTAGGTACAGAACCCTGGTACTTCTATTTCATCAATGGCTTTCTGAATTTCAATGTGGTTTTTGTGCTGGCCCTGCTGGTGCTGCCTCTGACCTGTCTGATGGAGTGTCTGCTGCAGAAATTCTGTGGTGAGTGCAGGGTTTGCCTGCCAGAGAGCAGCTTTTCCCTACTGGAAGTGAAACTGGGAGCAGGGAGAGCCTTTGGAGCACCAGGAAAGTTCCTGCAGCTCATTAGGGTTCAGGATTGTTCCTTGCCTCCGCTTCAAGAGGAAAAATGTGTTAAAAAAAGCGAGCCTGACAAGGTTCCTGAGCTTCACTGTGACGTTTAATCCATCAGGAATGGCCCAGTCAGTGATCCTGAAGGGGGGAGAAGCTGAACCTGGTGCTGTTCCCATCTTGTCTGCAGCTGGAAATGAGTAGAAACCTTTTGGGGTTGAAGCTGGGCTGCTCTGGGCACTGTGGGTTTTTCAGCTGCCAGGACTGAGCCCTGCTCTGGGCAGTGTCCCCGTGGGTGTGGATATATGAGAGTTTAAAAAAACAAACAAAAAGAGGAACCAGAATATTCCCTACTTCACACTGGGCTTTTTCTTGAATAAAATGACATCAGTTTGACCACATGACACTTGTGAGTGACTCCAGAGGGGAAGTGTAAATTCCTTTCTGCTGTTTTCCTGAGGAAAATTCATCAAGGCTCAGCAGCAGCCTCCAGATTCATCAGTCCAGTCTGTGCTTTGCTCTCTCTGTTTTTTATACTGACTACAACAAACAGTAACACAATCCTCGATGAAAATGTATGTTCAGGGGTGTTTGCTTATGTCTGTTCCTTGGCTGCGAGTGACAAACTCGCAGAGAGCAGTAAAAGCTCAGTGGGAGCTCCTGTAAATGCAAGATTTCCTGCTGTTCACTTGGTGTTCTTGTGCTGAGCAGCAGGAGCGACTCTGCCAAGCGCTTTGTTCTTATTGTCTGTGAAATGCCGCTGGCTTAATTGCTTAACTCTGCTGCTGGGAGTAGCAAGGGGTAGGAGAGGGACTGAAAATTGTCAGGCAGCGCAGAGCCCTCCTCAGTGTGACTGAAATTCAGGGTAATTGTTGTTATTTTTGAGTCAGTTATTTCCTCTGTTAAGCAGGAGGCGCCTGGGAGAGCTCTGCCGGTGTTGTTTTTGTAATGAGGCAGTGAAGGGTGGGCAAACCTCAGGCTCCAAACAACCATTTGGGAGGGAAGGGCAGCTCCTGAGGGGGCCCTTTCTGACCTTGGTGTGCTCAATGCCCAGCAGGAAACCGAGCACTCCTGTGTGCCTCCTCACACCTGGCAGTTCCCGATGGCTCTTGGGTCTCCTTGGATCCACCAACTCTTATTTTCTGCTTCTGCTCTTCCTAAGGCTGTTGGAATTGTCAGTGTGGTAGAAATCTGCAAAAATCCTCTGAGGAAAACGCCCTGCTGGCTGTTTGGGGTGTGTTACCTGGGTTTTAGGAACAGTGGTGCTCAGAGCAAGGCGTGTTTGGGTCTCCAGAGTGGGCTTTGGGTCCACCAACTCTTATTTTCTGCTTTTGCTCTTCCTAAGGCCGTTGGAATTGTCAATATTGTTGGAATCTGCAAAAACCCTCTGAGGAAAACGCCCTGCTGGCTGTTGGGATGTGTTAACTGGGTTTTAGGAGCACTGGTGCTCAGAGCAGGGCGTGTTTGGGTCTCCAGAGTGGGCTTTGGGTCCATTAACTCTTATTTTCTGCTTTTGCTCTTCCTGGGTCCATTGGAATTGTCAGTGTTGTAGAAATCTGCAAAAACCCTCTGAGGAAAACGCCCTGCTGGCTGTTGGGGTGTGTTAACTGGGTTTTAGGAACACTGATGCTCAGAGCAGGGCGTGTTTGGGTCTCCAGAGTGGGCTTTGGGTCCATTAACTCTTATTTTCTGCTTCTGCTCTTTCTAAGGCTGTTGGAATTGTCAATATTGTTGGAATCTGCAAAAATCCTCTGAGGAAAACGCCCTGCTGGCTGTTTGGGGTGTGTTACCTGGGTTTTAAGAACAGTGGTGCTCAGAGCAAGGCGTGTTTGGGTTTCCAGAGAGGGCTTTGGGTCCATTAACTCTTATTTTCTGCTTTTGCTCTTCCTGAGGCCATTGGAATTGTCAATATTGTTGGAATCTGCAAAAATCCTCTGAGGAAAACACCCTGCTGGCTGTTTGGGGTGTGTTACCCAGGTTTTAGGAACAGTGGTGCTCAGAGCAAGGCGTGTTTGGGTCTCCAGAGTGGGCTTTGGGTGTGGGAGGGGATTGTGCAAGAGAAGGAATTCCTGCATTTCTCCTTTGCTGAGGTTTTGTTTCTTGCAGTTCAGAACCTGGGCCGTCCCTACTGGCTGACCCTGGCTCCCATGTACATCTGGATCCTGATTTTCTTCAGCCAGCCCCACAAAGAAGAGAGATTTCTGTTCCCCATCTACCCCCTCATCTGTCTCTCTGGTGCTGTGGCGCTCTCTGCTCTTCAGGTAAATTCCAGTGGTGCTCAATAAACAGCTGAGAATATTTCCCAGCTGTTATTTCATTATGGCTTTGAGCTGTTCTCCAGTCCCAAATGGGAATTCTGGAGTTGTGGTGCTGTAGTGCCAACAGCACCCAAAATCCAAGGGATTCCTGAGGGTTCAGTGTCCTGCTGATGGACCTGTGGCTCCTTGGCTGCTCAGCTCTGAGGGCAGGAATGTGGGTGTGTAGGAAATGCCTTTTGATGTGTCTCAGAAGGAATCCCTCCCTCACTGGGCTGAAAAAAAGCAAAAGGATTTCATTTAAATGTTGGGAATTGCACTGAACGTTTGGAAGAGCCAAAAACTGGATGTTTAGTAAACATCACTTGAAACACTTCACAGAGCAAAGCAGTAATAGAGACTGATATAAACCTTCCCAAAGCTCAGAATTATTCATCTCCTGCTGTTGGAAAGGCTCAGGAATGCAGCCAGGAGCCTGTTCCAGCTCTGTCCTGCAATTCCTGCCCACCCTCAGTCCCTCACCCCTGCTCAGGTGCTGTTCCCACTCTGGATCTCCATCACTCCCAGACGAGTTCCAGTCCTTGCCTCCACACAGGATCCAGCTTGGAATGTCACCAGTTTTCTGGCTCTGACTGAGAATTCCTCCATGCTTTCAGAACATCACAGAGCAATGTTCATTTATTTTTATCGTGACTTGAGAAAACTTTCCCCCCCTGTACGTTTCTTGCATATTTTGCCACTGTTTGATGACATTTTGCCCAGTCTGGAACATCCAGCTGAGGATCTGGAGCTGATTGCCCACCAGCAGGACAGGTCTGTCACTCTCCCCATCCAAACTATGTGGATGTTATGAGAAAAATGCAAACAGGACAGGAGAAACAGAAAGCAGCTGAGGGCAGGGAGTGAATAACCAACCACTCCTGCAGAGCAGCAGGGAGGGACCAAGGCAGGGACTGGATGGATTTCCACCTGGCTGTTCCAGAAAGGCTTTTTAATTGAAAAAACCAAACCTAAAGGACTTTTCTTTTATCAATTTTTCTTTTTATCGATTTTTCTTTTTATCAATTTTCTTTTATCAATTTTCTTTTATCAATTTTTCTTTTATCAGTTTTTCTGTTATCAGTTTTTCTTTTATGAGTTTCAGAGAGTGACCTGTGTTCAAAGCTGGACGCAGAATGTGCTCTGTGGTGTTTTGTTCACTTCAAAGCTGTGGTTTGTGCAGGCAGGGTAAACAAGCAGAGGTCACTCTGGAAATCTGGGTCATGGAGCTTGTGTTAGGCAGGAGTTCAGTCCATGGAAAATCAGGTGAGTGTGCAGGGAAATTCTGGAAGGGACTCTTGCCCCTGGTTCATCTGGGAGCAACCAAACTGGAACCCTTGAGAGATCACTTTAGGCCCATCCTTCCCTAGGAAGCATAAAAACACTGAAATACCCCAAATCATCACTTAAATATGACCAAACCCTATGAGTTTCTGTGCATTTTGATGGCTCTGAATTTAAAAATCTGGTGGGGGACACACTGTTGTAAGAGCTTAATGAAAAATGTGAATTTTGCTGGATGGATCAGAGTTGGAGTAACTTCGTATTGTCTCTCTCTCTTTTTTTTTTAATCTCTTCCCTGAGAAATGTTACCACTTCATCTTCCAGCGCTACCGCCTGGAGCACTACACAGTGTCCTCCAACTGGCTGGCCCTGGGGACTGTCCTCCTCTTTGGCCTTTTGTCACTCTCACGCTCTGTTGCCTTGTTCAAAGGTTGGTATTTCACATTTCCCCTCTGCCCTCCTGGCTCTTGGGCTCAGGGCTGCAGAAGTTGTGCCATAGAAAAGGGAGTTGGCAGTAAAATTTCGTGGGAGAGTGAGCTGAAATCCCTCAAGGAAGAGTTTGAAGGCAGGGTGAGACACAGGATTCCCAGCAGGAAGGGGGAGCTTTCATAGTGTGGTCTCCTGCTGGATTCCCCCACAAAGGTTTTGCTTGAAAACCTTCAAATTATGTGACCTGTGTCGTGCAGGTAACACAATTTGTTGAGAAGTTTGTCCTTGAGAAGTTTGGGTGTTGTTGCTGCAGGGGAAGGAATAAGTTCTGCTGGTCACCATTAATTAATTATTAATTATACATTCATCTATATGTATATGTATGAGTGGGTCGCCAGAATTACATCACTTAAAAATCCTCTTTATCTTCCACCAGTAAACTGCACTGATCTAAAACTTGACTGGTTTTAAAGCAGATAGTTGAGATTTTTGATAATCCCACTTGGAAAAGCATTTTCCTGTGTAAAAGGTGAATTAGGTGCATGAGTCCTTAATGGAGATGGAATCAAAGCCTTCCCACCTCATCAGTATTTTTTTGGGGTTTTGGTGGCCATTGGCAGGCAGGGAAATGTGAATAAAATTGGTAAGAGGGGAAGCTTTGAATGCAGCCACTTCTTAGCATAAAGCAGTTCATTTATTCACTGAGTTACCAGTTCAAAAAATTATACATGAAACAACTTTTCTAGGCTTCAATTAAATACCCCTCTAAGCTTAATGATGGTTTTCTGCCTCCCACAGGCTACCACGGGCCCCTGGACCTGTACCCTGAATTCCACAGGATTGCCACTGACCCCAGCATCCACACGGTGCCCGAGGGGAGGCCGGTCCATGTCTGTGTGGGGAAGGAGTGGCACAGGTTCCCCAGCAGCTTCCTGCTGCCAGACAAGTGAGTGCTGCCCTGGCACAGGGGCAATTAGGGCAGGTGGGTAACGAGGGGCACGCTCGTGGGTGTGGGGAGCCCTCAGGAACTTGGACCTCTGGTGTCACAAACACCGTTAAAGTACCCAGGTAAAGGATTCGGAAGGTTTTTCATCAGAAAAACTGGCCACAAGTTCCTGGGAGTCTCTGGTGTGCCTGGGGATGGTGTCCTTGGTTTTGGGGCTCAGAAGTACCCAAATAAAGGATTCTGAAGGTTTTTCATCAGCACATTGGCCACAAGTCCCTGGGAATCACCTGGGGATGGAGTCCTTGGGTCTGGTGCTCAAAAGTACCCAGATAAAGGATTCTGAAGGGTTCTGATGAGCACATTGGCCACAAGTTCATGGGAATCCTTGGTATTCCTGGGGATGGAGTCCTTGGTTCTGGTTTTGGTGCTCAGAAGTACCCAACTAAAGGATTCTGAAGGTTTTTCATCAGCACATTGGCCGCAAGTTTCTGGGGGTGACCTGGGGATGGAGTCCTTGGGTCTGGTGCTCAACAGTACCCAGATAAAGGATTCTGAAGGGTTCTGATGAGCACACTGGCCACAAGTTCATGAGAATCCTTGGTGTTCCTGGGGCTGGTGTCCTTGGTTCTGGTTTTGGTGCTCAGAAGTACCCAAATAAAGGAGTTTGAAAGTTTTTGATCAGCACATTGGCCACAAGTTCCTGGGAATCACCTGGGGATGGAGTCCTTGGGTCTGGTGCTCAACAGTACCCAAATAAAGGATTCTGAAGGTTTTTCATCATCATGTTGGCCACAAGTTCTTGGGAATCCTTGCTGTGCCTGGGGCTGGTGTCCTTGCTTCTGGTTTTGGTGCTCA